CCACCTTGAAGCCGTATGGGGAACACTCTGATATGCTACTTTATGTCTTCTTAAGATTAAGGTGAACTATTACTTCATCGTAACGAAAGTAACAATAGATCACACACTTTGGATAGTGTATAGTTGCGTTGCTTTCGGTCTTTGTCCGAGGGACCCAAGCTTAGACCAGGCTGAGGAGGAAAAAGCACGAAACAGCTGTCCATGATTGGCTGACTTTGGTCGGACGGAAGCAAAGCGTATTTATTTTGTGCAATGGTAAGTAGACTACATCTACTACATTGCTCGAATCGTCGCCAGTCGCGGACTGAGATATACAGTGTGGCGCATCGAAAACGAAACAGACGCATTTACTGGCAGCTCAGTTTTTTTTTGGAAAAACGCTCAGAACCGTCAATTTTGTTTTCGAGGGGGACACAAGTTTGGCAAAAAATCACGTTAACACGTGCAGCCCCCTGGGCGGGGGTGACACCAACCCTAAAATCTTAAATGGAAGGGGGGGGGGGGGTCAAGTGATACCTTATTTTAAAGGTCTTTCAATTCCCTTTATAATAATGTAAAATACATGAGCTTCAGTTCAGTAGTGTTGAAGATTTATTGATTTAAAGCTTAAAGTAGACTTTAATAGGTACATCAGATTAGTTTGTACTACTTTCAGAAGAAATTTGGTTAAAAGAATTTACTTAATAAGTAAATGCTTTTCTTCACTACGCCCATGGTTTGTTTATCATTTTGTTGTTGAAAATAGCTATTGGAGCGTTTTTTTGTGGCAAAAAGTTATTTCTTGAAGAAAGATAAGGAAATATCTCGTACTTATTTTAAATAGGAATTTAGTACATGGTTTATGATTGATTTGACCAAACTTTGTTGCTAAAATAACTTGTAACGCTTTATTACATAAATTAACCATGGTATATTCCACAGCAGAAAGAGTTGAAATTATCGAAATATTTTTTGGAAATAATCAGTGCGCTAATAGAACACCAAAAATATTTAATGAGCGACATGAGAACAGTAACGTGCATCGAAAATATGTTCTAGAACTTGTAGCTAAATTTCGGGAAACTGGGTCAGTCGCCAATGAAAAACGCAACATTGAAAATCCCATAAGGAACGAAGCAATAGAAGTGGGGGTTTTAGGGCAAGTTTATGTAGATCCTACGTTAAGTACCCGCAAATTGGAGACGATTTTGATCGGCGATTACAATTTTGTGAAGATATGAGTGAACGAATTACAAACGGTGAATGAACATTTTCTATTCAACACTTGCTTTTCCGACGAATGTTCCTTTTTCTTAAATGGCGTAGTAAATCGTCATAACTGCCGATACTGCTCCGATTCTAATCCCAGAATTTATCATGAGGTTCATACACAGCAACCACAAAAATTAAATGTTTGGGCTGGTATTTTTGACGATCATTTAGTTGGTCCTTTTTTCTTACCTGGAAATTTGTCCGGTGAAATGTATTTGGAATTACTGGAAGACGCCATAGATCCTGCATTAACAGCCATAATTGAAAATCAGAATGATCGGCGGTACATTGCGAATAGGTTGATTTTCCAACAGGATGGTGCCCCACCACATTACGCATTACGTGTTCAACAATATTTAGATCAGACGTTTCCAGATCGATGGATTGGTAGAAGAGGTGCCATTGAATGTCCCCCAAGATCGCCAGATTTATCACCTCAGGATTTCTTTATGTGGGGTCATTTAAAAAGCAAAATCTATGCTATTCAGCCAACATCATTAGGAGACCTGTGACGAAGAATTATCAATGAGTGCCTTCAAATTACCCCTCAAATATTTCAAAATGTGCGGCAACGTTTTGAGCAAAATCTTTATTATTGCATGGAGAATCATGGTGGCCATTTTCAACATTTACTTGCCTAACGGGTCAGTTAGTCATTTTAGTGGTAGATGGTCTTATTTCACCGACATTAACAGAACCATCAGTAAATATTGACCGTTTGACGTTCGCGATAGGGCTATTTATTCATTCTAAAGTTGCTGAAGGTAATTCGTATGTTTCAAGTTTGGAAATTGTGATGCACTGGAACTGGAGAGTATTTATTAAGGCTCCATATGTAGGGCTCTAGATGAAAAACATTAATTATTAGCTACGGACTCAGAAACATTTTGCCGTTTTCATATATGTGGAATGAAACGTTACTTTTCCTTTGAAAAGTAGGGTAATGCGATTTGGGAGATATTCCTAGTGAGATTTTATTTTCATCAAGTTTCCTCCAATATTCTTTGATTCGCATCGCTTTAAAAATACCTACTAAAAACTTTTCTCGCTGCAAAAGTGAAATTTCAAGTATTTTTTTCGGAAAGTAAACGTCTTTCTTACTATTTGAAAAAAGCTTTGTTCCTGCTTTTAAGTTCATACGTTTTCGAAAAAAAAATCGTGAACATTAAATGTAAATCATTGTTTTTTATTTTTTTACGATATAATGACCATTTGCAATTTCGAAATTTTAACCATCAGAAAGTCGAGCATTGCACCCCTCTGATAATCGTAAGCTACCTGTACTTGTTCCCGAAAAGCTGTTAGTGTTTCTGGAAAATGAGGTAAAGGAGTTGTTCTTCTTACAGCCATGGCCACGCATGTTCAATTGGCGAATAGTTTGGAGATCTAGAAGTCTGAGGTAGGAGGTCGATTTGACCGTTATTGAGGAAGTCTGCTGTATCCCCAGCAATATGGGTTAGAGCAAGATCTGGTTAGAGAATAAGGTTTTAAAGCGTTTCAAATTTTTTAAATACATATTATGCAGTATATTGCAAATAATATTCTATGAAAAAGCATTTTCGGATTTCGCCTTTAGTACACTTGCAGGAATAAAACTCGGGTCTCAAACGATTAATAAAGTTATATGAAATATTATATTACTTAATTAATTAATACGTAAAGTGTTGATAGATGAGAAAAAAATGAATGTGACAAGTAATTCTACATAATAAATACTATTTTTTCACACATACAAGGCATATACCTCTGAGTGCAGACTTTTTTTAGCTTTCACGTTCTACAACTATGCTGGACACTGTCAGTGTGACAACCCTAATGTCATGGGCGTGCGATTTGACTTGTTGATCTTTGTTATAGAATATAGTAATACTTGATAATTTCCCATGTTTGTCTGCGCGATGAACCGACATATATTTGAAATTCTTTATTGCTGAAAACGTTTCGGGCACAACGGTGACCTTCAGTACATGACACTTTTGACAATTTTTTAAAAAGGCTAATGTACCGAGAAATCTATGATTTGTGGAATATGTCTGATAGGTGCATAGAATTACCAAGGTTGGGAGCGTATAAATGTACTAAGATCAAAAAATGGATAATGGTTCTTCGTTTTTGGTGTTTTTTTCTGCCGCCACTGAACCGATTTTCAAAAATTACAAAGCTTTTGCGACCTTGACATGGTAGTAACACTGTGTAAAAATTTCCGCGAAATACGAGCGAAGTTATAGGTTATAAGACTTAGCCTTTTTCAGATTTGTATTTATATGGAAAACTAAATAATCCAAATTGCAAATGTTGAATCACGTTGATCAGAATTCCAAATGGCTTTACGTTTTTTGTAATTCCAGGTGTAATTTCAAAGAATTGTGAATCGGAAAAAGAGCTCAATTCTGTAAGCTATAGATAAAAGAAAATTGAAGATTCAGGACAAAACCACAAGCTGTTGCAATTTTGGTGCATTTGAATCGCCATAGCTACCTTTCCATAAAGTCGGATCACTCCTTAAATTTTGGCAAAAACGACGTAACACATTTGGCTCCTGAATTTTTATTGTAACTCGGTCGAGCTGGGCCATACTTCGAGTTATAGCGTCATGTTCGAGAATTAGGCAGTGCAACTACAGCTACTATATTTTTGTAACTAAGACGTTGATCTATAGGACTGGACTACCATACGTAGACATTTGGGCTGCTTTCCCCTTTCATTGGTATTCCCAAACAAATACACATGTCAAGGGTTTATGAAAATATCGGCGATATTTGTGAAATATTTAGCAGCAAGGGGTGAGATAGCGCACAGTTTCAGCAAAATATGGGGTGATATTTATAAGGTTGGAAACTAGTGATCATCATTCACAACCATATAGAGCTCCTTCCTATAAAAGTCCAAACTTCTTATTTCCAGGTTTGTTGTATGACCCTATAAACTTAAAGCTGATTCAACATTGTATAAAATTTACCATTTTACTTGTATACAAGGAAAATTTTAACTCACTATACTGACAAGTTCTTCAATATACATTAGACAGAAGATACGTTCAATTCTAGGAGATTTTTATACCTTTTTAAACTTCCCAGCCTAAGCAATTTTGAATGGCAATTTTGAAACAAGATAAACAAATAAATACATGATATTTGATTTATCCGATTTTCACGTACACATTTTATAAGTCTGAAACAAAATCTAAGCATAGTATAAAATGAGAAAATCATTCCTAAGGTCTATGTCTCTCATGACAAGCTTTGTACATACCTGACGGTATATAAGTTTGATGCAGCTTAAAAATATCTTCAAGATATATAGCAAACACGAACCCACATATCACCATTTTATGACTATTTTACTGGCTTCAGTCAATAAAATATTCACCAGGATGTTATAGCACAAAATATCGATGGGAATCCAATTTACATTTATGTTCTTATATTTTCATTATTTTTCCCTAGGAAATCTGACAGTATGAAACTTGTCTTTAAGATTATTATATTGAAACATGTTTTTTCCACATTACAAGGTTTCTAATAAAGAGTATGACGATACCTTGTTTGGTACTTCAGACTCATTATTCATCGTTGTACGAAAATAATGATAATGATGAAGTAGCCGGGAGAATTGTGAGTGACAACAAAACCAATCTTATCTCAGGATAAGGGTGGGAGATTGATAATGACCAAGTTGAGCATTAGTGAACTCTTTAAATTCTATCTAAATAATTTGATGATTGCTTGAACGGCCGATTTTATTTTCAGAAAAATTAAGGACCTAGAGTGGACCAGCTCCTCGTTCTGCGAGGACGCTGTAATGAACGACGAGAACAGGGAGGTTCTCCAAACAATAACCTCCTGTAACAACGGTGTTCATAGGAAAAGGTAACTACTGCATCTAAAAAGGTCTCAAGGTCTGGTGAAATTGGCTTTAACTGCATTTTGCAAAATATTATCAAGGACGGAAGCTGCAACTGTAACATGATTTTGCCAAGTATTTTCCACTGGCGCATGCATAAAAATGTTCTGGCTTTTTTTGGTGTTGGCTCAGTCAGCAAGCCTGTAATGCTTTTTTTTCTCATTATTTTGAGATGTTTCACAATATGATGAGTTCATTTTAGATGCTCAGGTTTTCCAATAAATCGAATAATCGATATTTAATGTTCGATATATCACCACCCTTCTCCCTCTCTTTATCTCTTTCCATTTGTAATAATGGCATTCGTTTCCAAAAGTGCTACTTAATCACACACCTCTCCCTGCTATTTTTCTTCAATTGATGGCACTTGCTTTTCAATACAGGCCTCTGCGCCTAGAAAGTTAAGCAAGCAAACATTTCTGCTCTTCTATTTTTAGAGAAGAGTGTCTACTAGTGTTTCCTTTTAAAGTAGTTTGTTTTCTTTCTTTTCCCAAAACTCCAGCATTTGGATACATTGAGGCTCAGATATCTCGAAAAGTATAATGCCATCTTGAGAAAGATGTAAAATTTTTATTATTTGGACGCAATGGCGGCCAGAGCATAAAATCTTGCCTCAAAAATTAGTAAAATAGATCACTGTCAACCACCGATTATGCAACTTGTCGCTCATCTCCATTTACTTAAGAGACATGCCATTCAATACGCGCCTACGTGGCAAAATAGGGTAGAGCTCCACCAACAAATTGAAAAAAGATAGTTCTAAAATATTTACTTTAAATAATTCAGCATGTTTGTGATTCCATCAGTTCCACATTCATCCTTTCTGGAAAACACTTAAATATTTTTTAAGCGTTACATTTTCGAGCCCCCTCCTCGAATACGCCCTTGTCTTTTACAGACTATTGTGATTGATGGTGTCATAGTGGAAAAAACTTTGAAAGTACGCACATCATAATCTTTTCCTAAAAATACAATTTTATTTTCTATTTTCAAGGACCATCAGTTATGGATCTATAAAGGGTAAGGGCACGCTATAACTTCCTATTTTCCATGATATCATGTCAAATTATAGTTTAAAGATATATCGCGTGAGTCACCACAATGGTAAGTTCGATGCAAACATTGGTCTAGCTCTAATCCTTTTATATCCGGAAGGGTAAAACATAGAAGTGCTTACTGCAACATTTTGTCATTTCATGCTTATACTTTCATGTTTGGAGCTCACTTCACTGGAAATCCATGTATTGCTTTAGCCATTTAGTCTGATTAAAACTGGGGAAACTGCTCGCATCAACACTGCATCGGACCTCGACCATTTTTCACAAAATTAGGAATTGGACAGCTAACATTTAAGATCTTTGGTGCCCGATGTACTATGTTCTTCTGGGGCCCCGCTTGTGAAAATTGAAGAGCGGGAGACATAAACTCTGCTTACCCTGGTGTTCCCATAAGCCGTGTTCCGGGGCCCGCAGTACAATGATTTGACTGCGTCATCTTGAATGCACCTGTGGCTATGATAGAACTTGACCTTGCTTGGGACAATCTAATACTATCCCGGTGAAAATGCTACTGTCTCCAAGGGTGGATCAGAGAGGGGGGGGAGCCCCCTAGACTTCCAACTCTGCCATTTTTTTTTAAATACATAACATATCCCCGCAATTGAATTATTCACAGGCTGTGACCACCGCTGCGCCCCTCTCTCCTAGATAGGTTCCTAAGCCGCCCTTGACTGTGGTTCTAGATGTAAGAAAGATGCTAATTATTAATGTTGTTTGTTTGCTACGTTTATTGTTTTCCCTGCCGCTTTGTTCTTTATATAACTATAATTCCTTTTTCGAGAATTTTATAATGCTTATCTTTCAGAGAGAAAAACAGTGAAATGAGTTCACTCTCAAGAGAAGAAAGGCGAAGAAGACGGCGGGCAACCCAAAAGTACAGAACCGCCCATGCGACACGCGAAAGGATAAGAGTGGAAGCTTTTAACGTAGCTTTTGCTGAGTTACGGAAACTGTTACCGACCTTACCACCAGACAAGAAGCTGTCTAAAATTGAAATTTTGAGGCTAGCTATATGTTATATTGCGTATTTGAATCATGTGCTTGAAGCATAGCGATGTACAGAGTTTCGGCGATATTCTGTATCAGGTAAGCTATGCTTTGAGAAGGATTATTTCCGTGCCCACTGTACTTTTTGTTCGTTGGGAAAATATCTACTGATCTATATGGAAAACGCTTCAAGAGACTAAATTAACTGAATGAATCAGAACTTCTAGTCATTGTATGAAAATTTCCTTATTGTGATGTATATTCGTAAAAATATGTATTCACTATATTTGAATACATGAGTACATGTCAGGTTTGTACTCGAAAACAGTTTCTGCAATACGTGGGTATATGTTTTTTGTTGCCTTAAATGCACTCAACCTTGTTTCGTTATACTAGATAATTCAATCAAATATTGAATCCTTTTGCTTACATATCCTGGCATCTAAAGATATTTTGTATATAATGTAATCATACGATTTAATGTTCAAATGCTTTTTTTTTACTGTATAGATGGTATAATATATTTACAGAAATAAGTAGTAATAATAAAATATAAAAAACGTGTTGGTTCTTCCATATATTCAGACCCTTAAATCCAAATAAAGTTATATACAAAACCTAATATAATAAGTTAAAATGAAAATTACAGTGTTGAAATTTTACCACACCTACAGTTTTCATTATTTATCATCTCATGTCAATTTTGAATTGCAAAAAAGTACACTAATTTCCGTCAGACTGTTTGCATCCTTGTAACTTTTTGGTCTCAAAGTACTGCTCGGATTGTGATGAAACTTTGAAACAAGGTATTTTTTATACCGAAGCAGATACACAGGCAGAAGCCTAAGTGCCAGAAAATCGCGGCTCTAAGAGGATCCCAAAGAAATTTTGTTACTCCGATTTTTGAACTGCCTAAGATTAGCAGAACTGGAAAAAGCTTCCTCTTATAGGATGTTCCACAATCTCGACACACTCGGGACAAAGGAGCGGTCGTATCGACCAGTTCTGGATGTACGAAGTCCGACACAGTTAGGGTGGGAGGCCGAAGACAGGCGGATCCGTCTGGCAGGCACAGCGTGCGGCGGCATCATGGAGGAGATAGCTAGATCCCCGAAGGCCCGCCAATGCGAAAGAGTCGCGAGACTGTCTGTTAGAGAAGAGTCATCGGACAGCCCTCTGGACTTCAACGAGCATAAATAATGCAATCGTGGCGGCAGCATCAGAAACGTATGAGCAATACTCGGGGTTAGGTATTATCTGGGCCTTGTATAGAGCGAGGTTGTCATGCGGAGAAAAGTACTGCTTAGCCCTAAACAAAAAAAGTCTGGCTTTTTCTAGCAGCTGCCGCTATTGACGAGATGTGTTCATGCCAGATCAAGTCCTTGGTGATCTCAACTCCGACTAGTCAAAATGAACGACTCTTTGGCAGAACTCAGCCATCCATCGAAGCCAGATGAGCGTTAGAACGCTTTTTGTTCGCCAAGGTACAGTACTGTCTTTTGGAATGATTAAACTGTAGAAGATTGTTGTTTCCCCGAGCAGTGATAACCTCCAGGTCTCCGAGGAAGTCGTCGTTAGTCTTCTTTTTTCCAGCTAAATGCTTGCATGTATAGTGCTGTCATCAACAAAGCTGTGCATTCTGTTGATCGTACAGAAAAGGAGGTCGTTGATATGAAAGAGGAACAGTGTCAGAGCAAAGACCGGGCCCTAGGGAACACCCACGTTGACATTGTGGAATGAAGAGGAGAAACCGTCAATTATGATGGGTATCTTGCGGCCAGAAAAAAAAATAATAAATCAGAATGCTGACAAACTTCTTTTTGCGGTATTTTTTGGGTTTATGATAACTTTTGGTCATAGTTGAAAGTGTTTTGGTGGGGTGGATGTATTAAAAAAACATATTTCAACTTTCTGACTATATTAGTGCGTAAGAAAAAAATTGGAGGATGAGCTCAAATTTTTTTTCGTGGATTTAAATAGTTGTATCGTTGTGTGAGATGCACTAAGTAAACCTTCTTGACTACATTTTATACTATTCACCCCCCTCTTGCCGAATAAAACGTTGCGATGCCCGAAAAAATATCTATCATGTAGTTACAAGAGACCATGTGCTTATTAAGAGCTAAACTGGTTGCATTCGATATCGCTTCCGGAATCCCGTTCTTTCCTTCCTTTCGTGGAAGCCCTGGGGAGGACATTTTCCGGTAGTCGGCCGCAGGTGGCCGGGAAACTCTGTTATGTAATTTGGCAGTTTAACGGGTGCGAAACAGAAGCTACCCGTTTTAACCGATCATCCGCTTTCCCATCTCTTCATTCTGTTTCCTTATTTAGGAATCCACAATGCATACTCCTAACAAATCTGCTAATATATACTAATCTGAGTACTTGAGTAAAATGGAATTACCATTTTTACGCCCCTAATCATAATGGGCTACTGTAATGAACATCATGCTGGATATTGGTTCAGGCTGAGTCGGTGTATGATGAGATGAAATGCAGAGCCTCACCTTCCTTTTCCCCCTCCAAACCCTACAACTTTTGTTAGAAACTTTTTTTCTCAGATACGGAGTATTCGAAATATAGTATGTAGGCGGAGCAAATAAAATGGCCACTGCATCTTTAATGCTCAGCAACCAAGTGCCATTCTACCACTAGCCACTAACACAACACAAAAGTGACACAAAGAACTATGCTGACTCGGGGTGTCGGGAATGGGTTTAATGAATTGTTTTCTAAAGGGGTTTTTTAAGTTCTGAATTAGGCTAAAGCCAGGTTTCTATAGACATCGGCACCGGTATTACGTATCTTGAAAAATGAAACTTCATCGGTTTTTTTGACATTTCGTAGGCTTTTTGTGACATAACGTAGGTTTTTCTACAAGACGTTAACTTAGCACAAGCTGTTGTATACTTGTAGTGAACTCGTTATGTAGCTGTAAGTGTTGCTTAAATGCCAGCGAACAGCGATCATAGCGAACAAACTTGGAATGAACTATTTGCATACTAAAAACTACCTAGTCTCAAGATGACATTTATTCGGTTTTTTTACGTATTTCAGGTTTTTTACATAATACCCCTGCCTAATAATGTTTGGTGTGCGGCTTTACACAGAGGCCCCGATGAAAAAAGGCCAATTTTCAGATACTCTGCTGTCGCATAAATTTTCCTAAAATCGAGGTGCGACCAATTGGTAAAGACCTATCGACTAATCTTACAAGAAAATAATGGTGTCAAATTAAACGATCCTTATGTCCAACTCACGTTACTTTTGCAAGGAATAACTCTCAATGTTGGGTTTGAAAAGTACAGATCAAAGACGCCGCCAACCCAAAGTCTACACCAAACAACTTGTGGATGCATGTACGACACAGCCATCATCGAAAATTGAATCTTGGATCTTTCAGGAACTCGTGTCATACCAAGTGGCGGACATAAGTTTTCAAATGAAAAAGACTTTAACACTTCGCATAATTTATTTCCAGTTCGGCATCGATCCACCGTTACTGAAAAGCCCTTTATAAAAGAAGCAGTGTTTAGCTTAGCAGCCAGTGTTCCTACATTTGTGCTTGCATATATAAGAAAAATAAAATCTGGGCTATAAATATTGCTTGACACTGACATAAGGAAGATGGAAAAAATGTACTGACATTTCGACTACATCGGTAGCTTATTTCAAACTACAAGATGAATTCATAATATGTCGGTAAATTGTTCTCCATCCACGTTTATGGTTCACTTAATGGAAAGGGAACATATAGATAAAACAAAATACATATTGTAATTGTTTAACCTTTATTTCAATAAATAATAATATTTCAATAAAGATGTGCTCCCGTTAAGCCAAAATAATGCCTCACAAAATGCTCCTAGCCCATCTGATATAACTTGGGTCGATATAACAGTCCTCTAGCGAATTGTTTCCTACTTTGTGTGATAATGAAATCGGTTTTAATGTACCACCTGACCTTTCTTCCCCTAACGATTTTTTGAAGTTTTTTGTTAATGACGAGTTGATCGAGAAAATGGATCAAGAGACTAATAGATATGCTGAAAATTTGATGTCACAAGAAAACAAACCTAAATCAAGACTAAATTTATGGAAACCAGTAGATCATAATGAATTGCAAAACTTTTTTGCCATAGTAATAGCCATGGGAATTGTGTACGCTCCAATAATGAATTTGTATTGGTCCAAAGATTCCTTATATCATAAGAAATTTATATCATCTTGTATGACAAGGGACCGATTTTTAATTATTTTAAGATGCCGGCATTTCATGAATAACATAGATGATACTGGCGAAGACAGACTATTCAAAATTCGCCATTTGATTGACAGCTTGTACAAAGACATTCAAAGAAGCAGTGATTGTTCCAAAAAAGTAGTTATAGATGAGTCTATGATACCACGATGACACGGATCGTACCGTCAGCCACGCAGAGTTTATAGTGGATTCATTACTTAGTGACTATGATTAGGGCCGCATTTTATATTGCGATAATTTTTATACTTATACTTCTTATGAATTGGCAAAATATTTGAAGACCAAAAAAGCAAGAATTTGTGGTACCTTGAGAAAGAATCACAAAACTGTTCCTTAAAATATTATTTCTCAAAAGCTTAAAAGAGATCAAATAGCTGGAAAAGAGTCAGAGGGCATAAAAATTATGAAGTGGGTAGATAAAAGACCGGTTCTGATGCTCTCAACCTGTGAAAATCACGATACATCATTAGTTAATACAGGAAAACTAAGAAAAGGACAGACTGTAAAAAACCACAGTGTGTAATCGATTACAATAACGCAAAAAAAGGTGTCGATTACAGTGACCAGATGGCATCTTACCAGAGCCGTCTCCGAAAGTGTTTAAAATGGTACAAAAAAATTGCAGTTGAATTAATTTTTAATTCAGCAATCGTCAATGCTTGGGTTATGTTTAATCATCAACATCCAACTAGCAAGCTCAAATGACACCATATTTTAGCATAGAATTTGACTGTTTTAGTTTAATATTATAGAAAGTGTTTTTAATAGTATTGCAAAAATACATATTTTACTTTTTTCTATCGTAAAAATACTATTATTTAACTTTAGTTTTTCCTGGCTCTGTTTGAGATTAAAGGAACTTTTATAATTATTACTGTGTGGTTATTTCTTTAAAAAAGCTTTTATTTTACCAAAAAAAAAATAAAAACTTGTTGACTACGAGGTATATTTCACCCGTAACGCATGTCGGGCCAACTTAGGTTTTTAGCCAACGCAGTGAACGTGTTAATTAATGCACTAGAGATGCTGCCTTTACAAAAAAATGGTTATATGTTGGAGTCCGTCTCTGTTGTTTGGTTTAACGTTAGATGTTAAAACGAACAGACATTCAAACATCATAGAACAGCAAAATCGCTAGTGTCAACACACAAAAACAAACCTAAGAACCTAAAACCTAACCTCACTTTTGCCTGGGACCACCTTTTAAAATATATTTTATATTTTTCAGAAATGAACCAGGCAGAAGTAACAAAACTTGTTTCCCAATTGAGAATAAAAGTAAATTCAAGATTACGGAAATTCAGAAATCCAAAGGGACCGGAGGAGAGGTTAAATAAGCTAAGAAAAACCGTAACTGCTCTTATCAAGCATGAAAGAATTGAACTCAACTATCCTAGAGCTGATGAAGCCCGAATGTACGCCGAAAGAGTAAGCAAATGTTTGAATGTTTTTTTATATAGTTTCAAAATTATAAATATATACACGCTCAAGATCTGAGATTCTTCATAATATACTGATTTTTCAGCTACTTTCTGATGCAATTCGTTATGGAGACTGTCATAAAACGACAATGGAGATGGCAGACTACTGGATTATAGAGAAGCAACTGGTGCACAAATTATTCAAAGTTCTGGTGCCTCGATATGAAAACTTCACCACATCCTATACTCGAATGTTACCTGCTCCTAGGCCATACCCAGGTTATGCAAAAGCTATACTGGAACTAAAGGGCAACCCTTATCCATCACTTTTGCCTGATACTCATACAAATAGGAATTTAATACATAATGTTTTGCTGGATGAAGCTAAAAAAGCATATAGGTTACAAAAGTATAAAGAAATAGCTGATAAAGTAGATAATGCAGTTAAAACTGAGGCACAAGCAGCTGTTACACAAGTTGATGCTAAAAGTGAAAATATAGAAGTTGCTGCTCCACAAGATAAGTCTCAAAGTGAAAAAACAGCAGTTGCTCCCAAACAGGCTGCTTCACAGGAAAATGTTCAAGTTGAAACACCAGATGTTAAAGGAAGCTTACAAAAAGAACTAAATGGAGAAGTTAAAGAAAAATAGTTTCACAATTATCAAAAAATATATTTTATAAATAGTAAATAACTTGTTTTTTTTATGCAAGCCTTAATGCATTTATATAAGATAGTCTTGCAACAACCAAAAGCCACGTAAAAACTATTACCAAAAATAATAGTATCTATTACACCAAGAACAAAAAGTAGTTAGGGATATGTGAAAACAGGGATTTTTACTTTGCCATAAAAGAAAGAAAAGAAGATGTTTCAATGAATGCATACTGTTACGCTATTGATAAAAATATTGTTTTAATAAACCTATAGAAAAAAGGACGAATATTTTAGACCACCCTATGGGCCTTGTGTGGGTTTTGTTAAATTTTGTATTAACCAATTACCTACATGCTAGGAATACGCCCCACCAAATAAATCCATAAGTAAAGTGGTAGATTTAACTGTTTTTTATAGTCATTCGAATTTGTGAAAAATATCACCGAATTAATATAATTTCATTATTTATTTGTAGGATTAAAGAAAATTTTTTAAGTACATCAGACTGTAGTCCTCACAATATCTGTGTGATATTTTCCTATAAAAAAATAGTTGTTTTCACAGTCCATCAAATCTTGTCCATGGGTCTGTTCCTTAGTTCATACGGAACTTTTTTTTCTTGATACCTTGCAGTGGCGTACAAGCAAGCGATTCAATAGTTATTTGCATTTGTTCCTTGAACAGTTTCAAAATGTTTCTATGTCAAACACAACGAATTCAGACTAAGTAGGAGCCAGTTAAGGATTTGTTTGTCTTCTAATTCTCATAGTCTGTATCAAAGTGCACCTGTCTATAGTTTATTTTTTAATAGGAAGTTCTGTCATTTAATTCGTATATACAGGGTGTCCGTAAAGTTGGGGTTTTCCTATACACGACGGCGACATGTAGTTCTTGAGAAAATAAGTGGATTTTCTTTGTAGCATTTACACCAATGTCTTAACAGAACCGATATATTGGGCTCCGCAAACTCAACCAAACCGAAGCCAGTCCTGTACTAACCCTCGATCACGTCCACAGCGCCAGCGTACAGTTATGCGAAGTACGATTACCTGACTACGATGTGAATACTGATTCAACTAAACAGTGTGTACTTTTTCATTTATTTTTTTAGTTGTTTGCTCATGTTTCACCACACATTAGCTTTGTTATATCTAGCGTAGTTGTGTCTGAAAAGAAAAACCTCAACTTTGCAGTCACCCTGTATTAGTGTTATTTTTTAAATGTGCGAGTGTTTGCACATAATAGACGATATTCTGTTGGGGTATCTCATTCCAGGCTACTGCAACTTTGTGAGTAAGAGCTGCTAAAGTCTGTGGAGCGTGTTGCAAATTCAAGAGCCTGCGACCTACCATGTCCCAGAGATGTTCAATTGGAGATAGCTCAGGCCATCTTGGTGGCCAAGGTAAACGGTCTGGCATTGTCTTGCTGAAAAATCGGGTTTTGGATGGTGTTTACGTATTTAATAAGATGAGGCTCCACTACTAATATAACGTCGGGCTGTCATATTGCCTCTGATGAAAATTAGTGGTGATTTGCTACCATAAGCAATAGCACCTCATGCCGTAAGTCCCACAGTAACGCTCTCTGTCAAATTATGGGCCCGACCATCGTGCATCCCCAGACAGAAGCGGGTTTCGTCACTAAAGACCACCTGATTCCATTCCCGGTCCCATAGAATTCCTTCTCTACACCAGTGCAAGTGGTTTCGCCGATGTTCAGCAGTGAGAGGTAGCACCCAATGTGGGTGATAAGAAAAAAGGCCAAACTGTCGTATTCGGCGATATACCGTACGCATACCAATCATCCTTCCATGCTCTTCAAACCACTGATTAGCGATGGCTCAAGTACTACTGAATTTGTCTCTCAGAGCCAGAAATCTTAACCGGCGGGCTTGTCGGTCTGTGGTCCCTCTGGGACGTCCAGAACCCCTCGCTGGCTGTCCTAGGCCTTCCTGAGTCCACGTTCGTTTACACTGCAGTAGGTATACTGCGTAAGGATCTGTTGGTCCTCCTAGAAACTTCTCTTATCGATAGACCGGCTTCACGCAACCCGACAATTCGACCCCTCTCAAAGTCACTTAGCTGGGACACCAGCGGCGAATTCTATGCACTCTAGGCATTTTGAGCAATCACAAAAAGGCTTCTAAATAAGCTACACTAAATTTAATATTTAACTGACACCGTAAATGTACGAAAACTGAATGCTTTATCACCAAACAATACACACAGCCACCATAAAAACTTAACAGAAAAGCCTGATCGGATTATCACTTGTTGTTCAAGATAAATCGATATGTAAAAAATTATTGAATTCTAATAAACATACGTAGGTGTTTACCTTTTTTTGTCACCCAATAATATTGATGCAACGCTGTCACTTTATTGGTAGGCCTTGGTAGACCAAGGAGTTAAAAGTTTGCACTGAAATTACGCAAATTAGGCGACAAAAGATGCAATGTAAGTCAAACACTTCATAATTTCAGTGATGCCTATATATTAATAATGAATACTATTTTCTGGCACTTTGCTAATTTAAATAAACAAACAATGTATCCTATAAAAACGATCGACATTTTACTGCGACATATTAGAATCAACGTCATTATACAGGGGCGCTGGGCAAAGGGTAAAGACGTAATAGAGCCCGATTTAACATTGTACATGTATAAACACCATTAATTAACGTATTCTACGAGTATATGAAGATTGCCATCTTAATGCTATATTCGTGCGCCCAAAAAAGTATCTGAGATATAGTGAGATATCGTAGTGTTATCTATCAGAATCTGTTGTAGCAGTTTCTCGATTTACTATATATACTTTGAAAAGGTTAGTATCTAATAAGCCATGTACACATATGTAACAACACCGCGAACCAAACCACGCGACGAACCGCGCCGCGTAAGATTAGCGTTACAGTGTTACAGCTCGCCGTTCGGCCCGATCCAGGCTCTGTCGGTTTTTGAGCGCAACATCAAAGGAATGGCTCACGACGAAGTTGCACATGTTTGGACAGGCATACCAATGTGTTATTTTGTAATGTACAAGTACTTAGAAGTAAAAGAATTATTTTTCTTACTTGTATATTTTCCTTTAAATCTTCGATCAATGCCTCACAAACTTCTGGAATGATCGGTTGCTTTGAAATTCGAAACCTGTATTGCAAACTGCTATCTGAATCACCGGTCGCTAAAAATCGCACCGTGACTGCAAGTCTTTCTTGCACTGTGATGGCAGAGCTCTCCATTTTGTATCTTGTTTTCGTATTTGTGATCCAATCAACGTGAGAATATATTCAAAGTCCGTCGGAGACATCCTCGTAAAATTTTTGTACTGTTCACTTACTGGTTGAAATTTCAATTCCGCTATCAAATTGTTGCAACCGTGGGCTGATCTATTGGTATATAACTGCGTTTGTTACCATAGTCTCGGACGTCGTCGTCGCTTGTTTTTGGATAAATAGTAGTGTATATAAATATAGGCAGCTGTTGCTACTGCTATATCCATTTCCGGCTAGTATTTGTCTTTCACTGAACGACAAACAACAAAATCGTCATTTTGTTGCGCGATGTGGTTGCACGATGTCGTTCGGTTTGTGGTGATGCTCGTTGCAATGTTGTTCGTCAAAATGCGCGCGCTGCGGTTCGTCGCGAGGTTCGGTTCGCGTTGTTGTTACATATCTGCACATGGCTGTATATGGCGCTATAGTCATTTACACTGGAAACTAAATACCACCGACGTCGTAATGTGTACGAGAAGGAAGTGTAATCGGCGTACTCTTTCTAACATAAATACTGCACGCTTCTCGCGCTTCACTCTCGTACACATTACCGCGTCAGTCAAATTTGAATCTCACCGTATATGTTTGTATATGCTCACATACGGTGAGGTTCAAATTTGGCTGACGTCACAATGTGTACGAGAGAGAGAAGCGTGCATTATGTATGATGGCGTCCGTGACCTCGTATTCGAGTTGCTAGGCAACGAGGTGCTTCTATCTCTTTCTAACGCACTTATCGTACGCTTCTCTCTCGTACACATTACGACGTCAGTGGTATTTGGTTTTCAGTGTAGGCGCCGTCTATGGGACACTGAACATATCAAAGTATATAAATAGCATAGCTGTGTGACAAATTATCATGATCACGCTACGGTGTTATTTTATCTCGAATCAGTTTTTAGACATGGGAATATTGCATTAGATGGGCTATCTTCAGGTAGAATACGTTAATCAATGGTAAACACTGATTGCAGAATCTTAGTTTAAAGTCCATGTAGCGTTTTGTCCATCCTGCCGTGCCGCCTATGATTGGGGACTATTCCAATATGGCGCGCGAGGTTACTATCGGAACAAACCTTCTGATTGATGTATACCGGTGTGGGGGGATGGTGGGGAACAGCTGACAATCTAAACATTAGACATCTTTGATCCATTTTTCAATCGTTTTCTCACAAATGCTCCAATAATTTTGAATATGACAGAAACATAACAAGTGCGGGTTTTCTTTTGTTTCTGTAGTTTTCGTAGGTTGTTCCGATTGTATTAGTTTCACTAATTAATGTTGATTTTGTTGATTTTAATGAAGTGTGACGTCATGTGATTGCGTTTTATATGGAGAACTGCTATGTGCAAGGTAATTTTTCCTGCTTTTTCCACTGTTCAAGCCGTAGATAATGCTTACTTCCTATGTGACACGCTAGTTCGATTTCTGGTCTACCAAATTTAAGTAATGAAATGTTGATTTGTTTGCATGTTATGTACAAATATTTGTGAATTTTCGGAACGGTACACTTTATGGCAAATTCGTCCTTGAACAAAATTGTGTTTAAATTTATACATTTTCAATTATCCTAAGCCAGTTTTAATGTGATTAAACATAAATGATAATGAGACACATACTTTAATTCACTTTGGGCTATCAACATCCGTTTGTGAGTTTTCTTGGGAAAGTTAAACAAGTAGGGCAACATTATAATTTCCCAATCTGTGTGTTTGAAATATTTGTTTTTGCTTCTTTCCAGATGACATTGAAAGTAATCAATTATTCTGATCGGCTGTATGCGTTAGTTCGGTCGTCTCTATGGGATATTTTAATATTAGACGTGATATTTTTGCTAAATTATGCATGTTATGATTGTTCTAATGAATACGGCTCGCCTGAAAGTAAATAAAAGGTGGGCAGGTATTGCTGGCTAGTCATCGTTCTGAGCTTTGATTAATGAATTCTACAATGTTCTGAGGCACACTCATTTACAATATTTTCTTATTTATAGTCCAAATACAGGCCTTACAAAATATCTCTTTTTAACATCAGCTTTATAAGATTTATTTTTACCTGAATCATAACAATTCTAATTTTTTGGAATAGATGCTTGCTTTGTTTTTGTTTAATTATCATGTTTGAATGGATTTAAATCATAAAAATATGTATCATTTTCTGGCCTAAAAAGGATGAAGTACAAGGCTGTTTTTCTGTGTAAAATCGTTAATATATTTTTCACATTTCACATTGAATAAATTAAAACTGTTCAAAGATAATTCTCTATTCTTATATTTCACTCTGCTCTAGTAAGCTGATTTGATATCCTAGCTACAGTAAAAATGCTTCAGAACAAAAATAACTCTTAACCAAAGTCATTTTTTAGTAATATGTAGAGTGCCTATGTATTTTACAGCCAAGCCATCAATAAACCATATGTATCAGTATAACAAAGAGCATTGTGTAATGTTTTAACCATACCTGTTAACATTAACATTTGAAAAATAACTGAATGCCAAGAAATGATTACATGTTACCTGTATATATAGATATGAGTTCATTTACCTCTATACCTCTGTAGATGCATTAAAAATAAATTTATGTTCCCTTCATTATCAGTATGTTTCTTTGTTAAAATTAATATTGTTTACTTAAATGGGAAATTATCTGATTGCCTTCTGTTATAGTTGCTTTTATAGCCGAGGAGCTAGGCACAAAAACTATTGTACCATGAGACTAATAAAGGTTTCATTCCATTTTACTTTCTGCCACAATGCTTTCTAAAATGCAGAGGTATTTAAAACACAGCAGCAATATTTCTAGTGTAGTTATTACATCAAAAACAACAATACTTCCCATAAAAATAGGTTCTGGGCTAGTATTTTATGAAAAATCCTCAAATAACTTTGTGGTGAAAATTGATTCTATTATATGTACAATGTTTAACATCAAGCTTCATAACCTTAGTGTATTTTTAAAGTAGGACTACCTTATTTTCTATGTGGATGAGGCGGTTGTGGTAAACGGGGAGTGGTGATGAGAAGCACTTTTCTTAAAAAAAAATGGCAGGCTTGACCACCTAGGGGGCGCGCATCACCCCCTCTCCCTCTCTATATTTATCCTTGGGACCTACTTCTGTCCTTGCAATACTGCCACTATTTTTGAATCACCCATGTATTATTCAGCATGATTTTACATTATATCATCATCTTGCTCCTATCAAAATCATTACTCATTTTGATGGGATTACTCAGCGATAATTCTAACATGGAGGACACATTTTTGTGAGATTTCTACAGAGAAAACCCTTAAGAAATTTTTGTGGCAAAAATATTGCTAAGTACATTCCAAAACAATTTTCTTCCATCCATCCATGACTGGCAGGAATAGTTTGTGATTTTAAGGTCATTTTCCAGTATATTGCTCTATACTAGGAGGCACTAGTGTTCCCATTGACTGTTGTTAACTTTCAGTATGTCATTTGATATACATACATGTCAAAACGTCTCATTTTGTACATATTTGCTGTGCTGCAGTTGGTTACAAAAATAACCTCATATTGCTTTTTTGTCCTCTAAAAAGCTAATCTTTCTTATACAAAAACAATTGTGCCTCTATTTTTTCTAACCTCCTTGGTCTGCTTATGACATTTCAGGTTTGTTAGTACAGTGATCGGTAACTTGTTGGTGACTATGTCTGGCATCTCATCCTGTGAATTCTGTCTATATAGCCTAGCAGAATGAACTAAACTTGTGTGGTGTGATCTTGGGCACAATCATTGACAGAGCGCTTCCGTCGTCCAAACGCGTCACCAACAAATATACCCTACATTCATGACACAAGTTTAGTATGGTATAGTATGGAGTCAAAGGCAGTTAGGCTTGTGTAATGACTAACCAGAGGATTCACCCTTAATAAACTTCTAGGTATCATACTTCTGGATGTCTCTAAAGTATTTGACAAGGTGAGGCTTACAGTCCCCTTGTATAAACTAAACCAAAAAGGCGCTTCCCTTTTTGGCTTTTAAAACTATAGTTCTTTTTACGGTTTTTGGCGGTTGGGTCACAATGCCATACAGAATAAGTAAACTGATTGACTAATGGTGAGACAAAAATAAAAAACGAGTGTTTTTGAATGTATACAAACAAACGTCAGCACATAGATGAAAATTGCAGACCTATGTGTGAGCGAGACATGTATAAAAGTAATCCTTGTAGTTTTACTATCACCCGCCGCCAAAAACCGCGAAAAGACCTATAAGTTCTTCCTAGAAGGGAGGAAATTTTGGATAAAAAGTTAAGGATGCCCTGTCGACAAAACGGCCGGTACGAGCCGGTGACCCTCAGGGTTCAATGTTCAGTCCTTGGACCAATACTCTACTCATTGTACAATGTACATCCATGCTGCCCCTAGCACCAGCAACTGTGAAGTCTCTAATCGCTATGCTGACGATACTGAATTAGTGGCCCCAAATTGGAACATTTTAGGCCATATAAAATGTGTCGTGTGATTTTTAAATTGACTAATCGCTCTAAAAGGTTCTCTCTTCTCTCTCCTTTTTTGTTCTCCTTTCTGCCTTTTTGATACTGACACAAGATCTAAGGTACTAAAAATCGCTCTGACAACTAATTATGACTTGACGATTTTAGTATGATGCAGTATATTCAATAAGTTTATTCAAAATGAGTGGAAGAATTGTATCATCCTTCTCCATAATCCAGTTTGTTCCAGAAGAGAACCACCTATGCAGTTGACACCATCCTCCATACTCAACCATGAATTTTCTGTCAGTTCAAAACAATTTTGGCATCAAATCACACAACAACAGTTTCTTGTTATCCACCGAACCGCCTTTGAAAACCGCAACATATGCAGATAGCCGACTGACAGAAAACAACAACCAAGAGAAGACCACAACACTGCAGGAGGTTTGGTCAAAGGAGAAATTCAATGTGGGCAAAGTTACCGAAAGAGCCAGTGTCTACAATAACCTCAAGATGTCTTGGGCAGACGAGCAGCCTATCAGGTTGCAGGAAGAAAGTCAGGTAGGTTGTGAATAAGAGGTTCCTAGAAACTAATTCAAGATTTGTAGCCGCAAAATCTACATTTATTATAGTAGTCGCGGTACATAGTAAATTATGCTCTTATTTCAATGTTGGGACCGCTATATATGCTTTACAGGGATAAAATAATAGAAGGTTATTTTCAAGTTTGGTTGAATAATGGATATTTGAATATCATAGTATCTTTTTCTACAGCAGTCTGAAGAGGTAACAGAGGAACCCCAAAAAGAAACTAAAGAGATTGAAGTGGATCAGAGTAGCAACAAGGAAGAAACACCTTCTCATCATGCGCGTAGGCCACCAAATGCCTTTTTGATTTTTTGTAAGAAACACAGGCCTATAGTTAGGGAGAGATTCCCGAACTTAGAGAATAGGGGTGTGACCAAAATACTAGGAGAATGGTGGGCATTGTTAAATAATGTTGAAAAACAGCCATATAATGATTTGGCCAAAGAGGTAAGTTAGTTTTTGGGAAGGAATTTTTAGTGTTCTTTGTTCCTGAAGGTTACACATTTTTGTATGCTCAACATCTGATCTGTTCAAATAATAGTACGTTTTTTTGGCTTAGTACAAATCATGGAAGTCTTCTAGGTATGGTTTTTATTGTATCAACATTGTTGATTTCTTGAAGACAAGTAAAGTATGTCCTAGGTGTGACCAGGAGGGATGCATTTCAGAATACAAGATTATAGGCCTCCAAGTATCAATATTATTTTGGATTTTGATCAAAACTTCGTAATTTGATCAATAATTTCATGGATTGACCACGTGTGGAACAATAGATAGGTGTTCTTTTTTAGATTTGGGGTCACCCTTGTCATTTTGGCAATCACGAATAAAAAATGCTATCAAACAATTTTGAGTCGTTTGTTTTTGTGACCTACCTTAGGTTTAATACGACATTATATTTTTAACATGAAGAGTAGAGAAGGATAAGCATGTTATTATAGACTCTATGATCAGTGCGTGCTGTAGAAAGATCCTAGTCTTGAACTTTCGATTCAGTATCGGATAGATCATGCTTTTTTCTGAACGCGCTGGATTAACATTGAACAGTTACTCAAACTTTGCGCATCCTCTGTCGTATTGCGATAGCCTGCGTGTAACTTAACATTTATATGCATCGTTTAATAACTGTTTTCATTTGCATTGTGAAATTTCCTACCTCTATCGTTTAAAATAAAATACGACGATTATTGGGTCAGTGCAAGAATTCCGATAGCCGTTCTACATATTATATTATGCTGTTGCTGATTAGAATATCTCGATAAACAATAAACATTTTGTAGGATTGAATTATCAATGTTTTAACACTTGAATGAAATATGTAATTTGTAATTTATAGACCTAGGTGTATTCCATGTTAAAAACCATGTTATAGTAATAATTTTGTATCTGAAATTTCATGGGAATAATAACAAAAAACGATATTTTGTATTTAGAAAGCAAATAAAGGAGCTTACATTTTATGAGTAATTTCCTATGGGTAGTCTTATGTGATTAATTGTGTGCTATGAAGAAATGTCTGACGGGGTCCTCCTATCGGTTTTTCCTCTGATAACTTTTTTACTGATATAACGTGTGTGTCAGATTCGTTTCTCTATATAGGGATCGCGGCTCCTGTTATACCTACAGCAAAGGTTAAATGGGGAAAGTTTTAGAGAAAACTTATTGCATTCGGTAGCCGGCTTCAGATTTACGATCGAATTGGTTTTGGAAATATCGGCGAAAAACCGAAAATGTTGAATTTTGTTTTTTGCCATAAATCCGAAACGGTTAATTTGACAGCTGTCAAAATGTGACATTATTCGGACATTTTTTTAAGGCAAATAAGAGATAGGGTGTAAGACAAGTTTCCCGCAACTTACCTCAACCTTAATTTTTCTTATGACTCCGTTTCGGATTTTTCGATTTTGGAAAAGAGCATAACATTTCCAGCCTAGTGATGCCTCACAAGTGAATGAAAGATTGTAGTATCATCGAAATATCAACACACGTAATGTTATGTATTAATTTTTTTCTAAGGAGACCATGATTTATTTGTTAGAAAATAAAATTAATAACACATTTTTTTCATCTAAGGAGGCTCTGACTTTGACGTTAAATATATGAGTAGTAGGTACGTTTTCTCTCATTTAAATCATAAATCTGACAAAAAAATGTCAAAACCTGTTTGAAAATGGCCGGTATTCCCTACTCTAATGAAGAAAAGTTTGACATGTTAGTGCTGAACTTGCAGTCACACAGAAACGCCGACATTACCTCAGCAAGGTACTTCACGATGTACCCCGAACGACGGCAGCCTTTAAAACCTAATTTAGAAAAATAGTAGTTGATTTGATAAATCATGGGGCCTTCGAACAACCTAGAAGCGGATACAATATTGAAAATGAATATCGCGACAGAAACATTTTACAATCTGTCAATGAAATCCCTAGTGCATCAGTAATAACTATAGAACGATAAATTGGTGTGTCAAAATCAACAGTACAGAGAGTGTTAAATAAGAATAAGTACCATCCATACAAATCTACAATGGTTCAAGGACTTAAGTAAACTGATTTTCCAAGGCGAATGCGCTTCTGTGAGTGATATACTAGGAAGTCTAATGAAAATTCTGATTTTGTAAATCATGTCTTGTGGTCCGACGAGAGTAGGTTTACGAATTGTGGATTTTTAATAAGTACAGCACTCATCATTGGGCTATGGAACACCCTTACGAAGTGGCAGAGAGACGCCGACAGACCAGATTTGGAACTAACGTTTAGAGCGGGGTCATTGGTAATTTAATGTAACTTAACTTTTTTAATTGGGCAGCTATTTGAAATTAGGTATTACTCATTTCAGGAAATCGACTTATAGGCCTATTTTTGTTTGACTACAGCCTAAACGGACAAAGGTACATAGAGCTTCTGCGAAACCAGGTTGTCCTGGCTTTAAGAGCTAGTCTAACCGAATTTGAGTTTAGAAGTTTAGAAGAACTTGGTTTCAACAGGATGGATGGCCGGCTCACAATTCAAGTCAGGAACTTCTTAAGAGAGCAGTTTGTTGAAAGAATAATTTCATTAAATGGTTCAATATCTTGGCCTCCTAGATCCCCTGACCTTTCACCTTTGGATTTCTACCTCTGCGGTCGCACAAATAATGAGGGCTATGAATTTGATCCTCCCGCGACCATAGAAATCCTGTAACAAAGAATTTTGAGCACAGTTAGAAACATTAACAGAAATACACTAGCTAAGGTTGTACGAAAAACAGTCACCAATTGTCAAAAATGTCTGGATGCAAATGGACGTCATTTTGCAAATCTGTACATTACAATTTTGTAAAATGTTTATTTGTTCAAGTGTAAAATAAATTTACGGCGATTTTTCGGACTTGTTTTTTAACATTCGCCCATTTGACTTGTTGAGAGGTCGATATTAACGTTAATGTTGTATTGAAAATTCAAGGTGTTTATGTATTTTTATGCCTTACTCATTAATATTATTTTCTAATAAATAAATCATTGCCTCCTTAGAGAAAAACTAAGACATAACATTACGTGTGATGATATTTCGGTGATACTCCAATCTTTTATGCACTTGTGAGACATTACTAGACTGGACATTTTACACTCTTTTCAAAAATAAAAAAATCCAATATTGGGGCCATACGAAAAATGAATGTTAGGTGGGTTGCTAGAAAACAAAAGAGGATTGAGACATGTCATACATGCTATCTTATTTTTTTTTTAAATTTTCGAATAATGTTACATCTTAACAGCTGTCAAATTAACTGTTTCGACATTTTCGGTTTTTCGCCGATATTTCCAAAACCAATTGACCGATCGTAAATCTGAAGCTTGATATCGAAAGCACTAAGTTACCTCTAAAACTTTCCCCATTTAACCTTTGCTGTAGGTATAACAGGAGCCGAGATCCCTGTATGGAGAACCGAATCTGGGACACACTGTATATAATTCAATGAAATTTTGACAGCATAGTAACCCGTTGGGACTTGGGAAACCTGAAATGATTAGCTCTTTGGATGGCTAGTGATGAACTAGCTCTAACGAAGTATAACTGATTTGTTACACCCTGTATAGTATTGGTCCAAAAACTATTTTTTGAAAATATCATCCTTTAGCATCCTTGAGCAAAAAGCATTGTTTCAGTACTGCTCGTATCCTATAATACTGTATTAGATCTCAAAAAATCTAAAAAAAAATAGAGAAAACGTATATCCTAGGATATTTCGTGTCGTTGGTTTCAAATCTATCATTAGAATTACTGCATATTTAAAATGGCAGCACCAGTATACTGGATTCGGTGCTAACTTATAGAACTGTATCGAAATAAGTGTTTTTCTAAAGAAGCGTCTATATTATCGGTGTCAAATAAAGTAAATTTTTTTACCTAAAAGATTAGGCTTCCTAAAAATGTCATTGTTGAACCATTATTATACCAAGCGTAAAAAAATGCGTCGCATGGACACTATAATATGAGTCCCTAATTGGTTACTAAATTTACAAAATTTCGGAGAATTATGTTGTGTCGTTCATGAGTTATTTAAGAAAAACCGATTTGTAATAGCATTTTCGCGGCCTGAGCTTGTAGAATTATTTTATCATATATGCATCCGAGAGGTCTCCATTTTATTCATATATATTTATATATATATATATATATATAGACCCTGAATGCTCCAACCCACTCACTTTGTGAAAATATCTGGCGTGGGAGATTCCATGTGTTGATAATTTATTTCTTTTCTTCTCTTTGTTCTTTATTAACATTCTCTGAATATTTAACTAATTTACTTTCAGTACAAAGACGCCTTCCTATCAGCCAACCCGAACTTCCGCTGGTACAAACTCCCCGCTCCTCCTTTGCGTACTTTGACGGCTCGCCCGGCAGTTCCTAAGCCAGGCCCGCCTATTTCAAGCACCGCCTCCACGGTGGGCGGAGACTTGCCAACTGTGACCACGCCTCCTTCCGCGGAATTCACGCCCGGCAAGCTGGCCGACGAATCACAGTTGGGCGGATTGACGTCGCTCATGAACAACAATTGTGTGGCACCTTCTATTTCTGAAGCGGGGAAGGGGGAGTGTTGTTTGAAGGAGGACGTACAGGTAATGAGATATTTTTTGCCACGTGGCGTGGTTATTAAATGTCTCAAAGACAAAGAAATGCAAATGTCTCTAACATTAATAGCGTTATAAAATGCTGTTAGGAAAATTTATGGCCAGATTCATCATGTAAAACTATGGAAAATTCATAAAAGAACGGGTCCCCAAATTCGCCGTTTAGCGAAACATTCCATGTATTTTTGCAAATGTGTATCTTTTTCCCAAAGCTACATTGTTTTTGCAAGGAAATAAGTTTTACTTAAGTTTGTTTAAAGCTTCGAGTGGCAGTTTCTAAGCACAACCAATTTGGCATTAAAATACTGATGTTAGTTTTTTGCAAAAACCAGTGGACGTGCAGTCTTTCCGGTATACACAGAGACCTGCCGGCACGAAATCTACTGATAATATATTCACTTGTACCAAAGCTGACCTCAATATCTCAATCTGCTTTCAAGAAATATAAAGAGATCTATCAAAGACGGGCGAGAATAAACACAAGATTATGGTAACGACGCATTTTCGGACATATTTATGTACCTTCGTCTTCAAATTTTGATGTGTGACTCTGCGCCTCAATTTTCCTGTCATTATTCTTTAACAGCCTGTATAATATTCCAGAGTAAGGCAGAAAGCAGTCCGGTATCCAACATAGACGTGAGCACTCCACCAAAACCAATCAAAAAAAGATTTTCAGATTACTATCTGGAGAACAAAGGCTGTGTGAGGAATCTCGGCCTGCAGGATATGCATCCACCAAAGAATGAGGAGATTGATAGGGAAGGAGAAGGAAATCTCACCAATCAGGATTTGATGAATAAGGTATATTTATCTCAATAGTATTTTGTTTGATATAGAAATAATTTTTTTATATACCCAAGTAAAATAACAAGTATTTTCTGTGAAATATTTGTAAGAACTTTCTTGTCACATGATACAGTACACGCAACAATATTTTATTGCATTTCTTAAAAATTAATAACAAAGTGTTGGCGTAATATTATACTCATTTTCTTTCATTATCTTGAAAAATGAGCTGATTTTTAGATAACATGCATCAATAGAAAACTGGAGAATCTTGGTATAGGAATATACGTATATTACATATAATGTTTTATCTCAGTTTGTTATATTTTGGGCGAGACATTTTGGTGTGGTTTGACGGGCATGCTGTTCTGCATGACGAATAAAAACGGTAAAATCAATGTATCTAGATAAAAAAACGATTATTGACTCTAAAAATATCCAATTCTTATCGTCTACTATTTGTCATTTGTCTTGGCGGTCCGTAAGACCTTTGCCCATTAGTCACTGTCTAATGTATGTTAGTCGAATCTGTCAGTCCTGGTTGCCCAGGAACCAAACACCACCAAGGAAAAGAAAGAGGGACAGAGAGGAAATAGGAGAAGATCAAAGAAAACAAGTGGAAATACCTAGGCTTTTGACTTGGTAAACGGATTAATTTTGAGGGGCACTAAAATCAAATGTTGATTAAGATTTTGTTAAATAATAATTTTGAGTGTACTAAATGCTGGGGCTAATGTTGAGCTTGAGATAATCCCTCAAGTAAGGAATGTGAAGGTCTCTGTGACACAGCCCATGGGGTGTTGCACAATAATCGCGAATTGACTGCTTTGCAGTATTTGAAGACTTCGTATGTGTGTCTTACCAAGAAAACACCAGGTTGCATATGCATAAGTAATGGCTGGCATAGTAATCATTTTATATTGTTGAACTTTGTCAAACTCAATTTGGAGGATCTAAATAACAAGAGATATAGCTGCCGAAACGTAATTTGAAATTTTGTTTTCAATGCTGCTGTATGTTTCGATCAGGGTCATGCCTCAAGGGTGACGCTGAGGTACTTGGCAGAATTTTCCCATTGTAAACGACTTGCGTCTACCGAAACCTCGACTCGCGACGACTTTTTGGCAGAATAAATAGCTTGAGTTTTCGAATGCTTGATTTTAATTACCCACTCCAATCTAGTACTCCCTCCACTGCCCTCTGCAACTTGCCGTGAACCAGATCTCACAGTTGCTGGGGCAAAAGACGTCGTGGATAAAGAGCGAGTAAGGGATTGGTCCTGAGAAACACTGACCCGTACTAGCAGTTTTGTCGACAAAACATGTTAATTTTGGTCACACAAATATGCTACAGTCAGGAGTATTTATGAAACATAAAGAAGTTATTACATTATTGGCCAGGATATGGACAATATGACCATGAAAGACAACTGTTGAAATATACTCTACTAGGCTTCAACTCTCTTCAGAAAGGACAACATATAAATAACCCATCAGGCACGGCTGATAGTTATACTTCATTGGCAGCATATTCAGTAATAATGTTCTCACATAGCAAATATTACTTATTTTATACACATGCAGACCATATTCATCCAGATGCGATCCTGCTACGTAACCAACTTTCTTTCACATCTCAGAGATAAACACTACAGACTACTCGGCTTTCTTCAACCAACAATGAATGTCGAGTCTTTTTTGACGTTTTTTAGGTTTTTTACATAATACACCTTGCCGGTGACATTTTTACTTTTATGCATGCCGTGCGGAAAAGTGGGACTTTCAGCACGCTGGTAGAAAAACCAACTTTTATCGTATTATGAATCTATATTTTTTTCCATCTACAGGTGGTCGATGACATGTTTATCCGTCATCAAGACGACTCTGAAGACAAAAACGGCCTGAAAGAAGTACGGAAATCAGAGCGCATGTGCAAAGGGAAGAGGTACGAGATGTTTATGGTTGAGGGAAAACTCTTGGGCAACCGTAGAGAGACGAAATTCGTGCAGAGGAACCGCATCGACACCAAGATCGAAATGGAACTGAACGCCATCAATAACAATAAACCTGAAACACCAAAGCTAGATTTAGGGAACACCATTAAACGCTTGGCTGAGCGCACCAATGTCAAGATCGATCTAATTGATGGTCAGAGTGAGAATCTTACAAATACAAATGTCAATACTATGGGTGAGTAAAATATTTACGTTCAAAATTCCATTTGTTCCTAACCCAAAATAGGTCACGTGGAATGATTCCGCGGAAGCCACCAACCAAGCATATTTTCCTTCTCTTTGGATGACCATATGACTTTTCTTCTATTTTTTGCTAGATAAATATTTTTTCGTAGACTTTTTGAACCAAACTACCGCTGAAAACCTCAAAAGGACTCGCAGCATATCGGAAACGTCAGAGAGTAACAATAATAACAAGAGTGCGCTGCCAAACTTCAACTTGGACCTGAGGATTTCTCACTTACCTTGTCTCAGCTACGATGAGTTCACTTCTAGAAAACGTGAGAGCAAGAAACGCAAGATACGGGCGAAAACTGACGGAGAATCCCGACACAAGGTAAGAATTAGATACATTTTGTATATTGTATTTTTCTGTTTTTGGGTACAACTTTTTATGCCGCTGCGAACAAGAAAACTTGCTTTCTTTGGTGGACTTTACAGAATAAGATTTATTTTACTAGATTCTAATTGTAAAATGAAAAATCGGCATTAAGAGAAGAGCCATAGACTCGGAGGAAATTGTCATAGCAGTATTTTTGGATTGGAAAAGGGCATTTGACACAATTGATAGGGATATTTTGTTAGGTACATTGAAGGTATATGGTATATCAGGAATGTTTTAGGCTGGTTTAAAAATTATTTGTCTAAAAGTATGAACAGTGAAAATTGAATTGAATGAAAGATTAGCACCTGTTTATAATTATACTGTTTATGTAGCTAAGCGTGCTAAATAGATCTTTCTACTACTAATAGGTTTCAAAAATGGAAGCTCAGCCAGTAGGATCGAAAAAGCGCAAGAATAAACAGAGCATTACTCATCTAAGCAAGAGTGAAGAGGATGAGGCAGGTTTGAGTGGAGACTTGCTCGGCTTGGCAACACTGGCCGAGGTAGCGGCCAATACGGAAAAAATCAACGAACAACTATCAGAGTGATATAGTATTAAAAAAAGGGATCATATGCTCAGAGATAATGACACGTTTTGTGGTACGTTCTAGAAAGTTGGATATTTTTTCATATAATACTGCCTTGTGTCTTCTGAACTAGGTATATACATTTGAGGGAGGGATATCTGGACTTAGCCTTCAGGATTATTCTCTAATGTTTGCCTAAAATAATCTTTCTTACATTTTATAGTAGCGGCAGATTGAAGATGCACTTCTAAAGTTTGACAAACACCTTCCAATCAAATTTTCTCATTCAACTTGTCCTAAGCAAGCATGATGAAAAAATATGTTGCCTAAACATGCTTCTCGATTCTATACAATTTTATCAGCCATTAGCTGCACATGTTCCATGCAGACCTAAAATATTTTGTTTTGAAGAACTGTTCAACTTCTAGCCTTATTATTTTACAGAGTATAGTTACTTATATAATTCTATTAATATTGAACAGTAACTATGATATACCATTATATAAAGGTTTACATGATTAAATATTTTTGACAGAATATAGGAATGAAAGTACTATTATAAATAGTCATACCAATTGTACTTATTTTTATTTTATCCTCCATCTCTATACAAAAACGTACCAGAAAATGTGACCGATCTTTGGAGCGCAAATTTTTACCTATATTTCGTTTCTCTTGATTGTTTTGGGCGATTTCCAACATTTATTGGCATTATTTGAATACCAAAATCTATATGCATGTGCCTGAGTTATCATATTTATTAGCTTTGAAAGAGGTGGTAGATTCATTCCAACTACTCAAAATAAATCAAAAGGAATAAGTTATTCTACCAAATCAAAAGTGCAATAAAGCTCTCCTGAATTGAGGATCAAAAACACAATTTAATATATATTTCCTCTTATGTAGTACCGTTTTTGATGAATTAATCACCTTTTTCACTGTTTTTAGAAACAAAACAACTGTTTTTTTTTTATTTTATTAAGGACTATTAAATGAGTATGATAGAATGATCGGTTATATTTGGTATGCATCTATCACCACAAAATCTTTCAACTTGAACGTTTATAGTAAGAAATTTTAAACGCAAGCAATAAAGTGATGGTCCATAATTTTACCAATTATTGACTTTTACGCGTTTCGACTTACGCCTTATATATCGCGGCTATGTGGTTTAAAAAATAAACAACAGCAAGGCTAATACACCTATTTGTTATGTTTGTGGAGGTTTTATTTGTTGTATATGCATTTTATGAGAATATATACATATATATGTCTAAAATTGTTATGTAGAGATCCTTACAACTAATTTTATATTTGTGATCTTGAAAGTTAGTGTTATAGACTTGTGAGCACAGCATTCAAAAATAAAAATTATTGAAACACAAGGCTTTATGATAGAATATTTGTTCGTTGCACAGTTATTGTTTTTAGATTCTATGCTCACAGGACTGTTGAAATATTATTGTTTTCTTTATATTTGTTTATGTTTGGTTTTTGTTATATTCATATGTATATGTTAACCATCTAATAATAAGTATACCAAATCATCTTCAATAATTATTATTTTAATAGTCTTATTTTTATGCTACTTTGCTATATTTCAAATCGCAGAATAGCATTCTGTTTAATTGTATGTTTTTTTTGTTTGTTTGTTTGTTTATGATCTGATTTATCCTGTTTGTAGACTTGGGTTACCTTATAAAGGAAGTGACAAAAAATATGTTTTGGTAAGTCCAATCTGTTGAAATATGTAAAAAAAATCATCTTTGAAGTTTGTTTCACAGGACCTATTCTTTTGTGTTTTGAAACCTTCTACAGACCGGAATGGCTATGGACTGAAGATATTTTTAACATCACGAATCATTAATTTTGAATTGTATTTCTTGTTTGTCTTCCACTTATGCACCTGAGCATTACGAAATCAATAGAAACGTTGGTTTTCAATAATGATTGTTTTTTCATTATTTTATTATTGTCTGATTATGCATGTGAAAAATATTTCAGTGCATACAAATTTTTAACTCTTAAATTTGGTCACCTTTATACTGACATTTTCATCTCAAGGTGATTTACTTTTCTTTGCGTTGCTCTCTGGGGACGTAACAATTTGCATCGGCACTTAAAAGTAACTAAAAAATAATTTTTGATCTAAAGTAAGTACTTTCATAAATCATCATTTGGCGTAGGTGTAACTAACATCCAACATATCATTCATATTTACTTGTAAGTTAATTTTTATGAAGTTGTGCTTAGAATTAAGAGTCATCGCAAAGGAAAGTAAGACTACTATAGATTCGATTTGTGTTTGGAACTTTTTATTTCTAGGATGTGTAATTATCGTCTGTTACATTGTTATATGCAAAGCTGGGTTTTTAATATCGATATGATACAGCAGTAGGGAAAATAGTATGTGCAACACTTCATCATTTTGTTGGCTGTTTGAAACAATATTTTTTTGTAGCTGGTAATTATTTTAGATTAATATCACGGCTCAATATTCCTAAATCTCAAAAAAAAAGAATAACCTGATATCACTTCTGATGTTGAGTTTTTGAATCGGAATTTTTAACCTAAATGATCGTTAGTTCGCAATATCAGCTTATAGACTAATCATATTAGCAAATATCACCGAAATAATCGTAAAGTCTGGTTTTATTGGTGCAAGTTGTCAAAGAGGATATTTAAAACATGGACGCATAAAAATAGCGCACCAATTTTTGTGGGAAAACTTTTTATCCGACAACAAAGAATGAGAAAACGTGTTGACAGGAACGAAAAAACTTTCAAAATAAGATTTTTAGATATTTATGAGACCTACAAAATGAGACCATACGTAAAAAGATCCGACTAATAGCAAAAATGTTATGGCCGAAAAACGAGGCAAAAACTTGTTGGTAATGCGACGATAATTTCACGCAACTTCTTGAAATTCTTCAAATTCATAGGATTCATTCTTCTAAATAACAACAACAAAATTGGAGTATATTGGTCAAGCAGTTTTTTGAGAACTTATTTCTATTGGTTTATCCCAAAACACCTGTTTTCCGGCCACCACTACTAGTTTATTGAGCCATATACAGGGTCCGTTCAAACAGTATTTAATAGCAAAACACACGTGTTTACCTTGCCGATATGAATCACAAACCGTTCCGAAAGGTAAATATGTTATTTTTATGCGAAAAACAAAGGTTACGTTTTTTTCTTCTAAACGAATTCAAACATTTCGTATTTGTGAGTAATTGAACAAATGCGCTACGATATTCGAAAAACATACGTTACTATACACATTCTACAACAAACCGGGTGTGTCTATCATCTTTTGTTGCGAATTACTCCCAAATACGAAACGTATACGTATCCCATCGTTTTTTGCATAAAAATAACATTTATCTTCCGGAATGGTTTGCGATTCATATCGGCAAGGTAAACTAGTGTATTTTGCTATAAAATGCCCTTTGAACTAAACCTGTATATTGCTCAATAAACTAGTAGTGATAGCCGGAATACAGGTGTTTTGGGATAAACAATTACAAATTTTTACAAACTGCTTGACCAATCTACTCCAATTTTGTTGTGGTTTTTGAAAAATTTAAAGTATCTGCGATAAACCATCGTCGCATTACCAACAAGTGCCAATACTTGCGGTTTGCCTCCGTTTTCGGCCACAACTTTTTTGCTATTAGTCGGATTTTTTTAAGTGTGGTCTCATTTTGTAGGTCTCATAAATACCTAAAAATCTTATATGAAGAGTTATTCCGTTCCTGCCAACACTTTCTATTGAATCCCATTCTTTGTTGTCGAATAAAAAGTTTTCCCACAAAAATTGGTGTACCCATTTTATGCGTCCATGTTTTAAATACCCCCTTGAACAAGCAGCAATTAAAACAGACTTAACAATTATTTCGCAAACCAGAGGTATTTTCGTCTAATATGATTAGACATTAAAAAGCAACTCTTTTGTGATACAAAAGAAAAAATTTATGCAATATGGTTGACGCGCTCCATAAAATGCCAAGAAAGCATTAAAAAGTTACAACACCCATTTTAGGTTGATGATATTTTAGAATCATATTCTTGCATGCACCTATCTATTTTCTTACTGCTATGTATTTACAAAATGTAAGTACCTTGGATTTCTCTTTTACCTGTTTTGCTATTAAAACTAGGCCTTAGAAGAAGCGACCAAATACGTAGTTTTAGGGTTATATACGAGATATATTTTATAACAAGATACGCCTTATAGTCTTAGAAATATTGGAATAATCACATTAATATATCCAGTAACATTATTTAAGGAAAAGATATTCTAATTACATCGCGAGTGATTTGTCCTGACCAATATTTCAATATCTGGCAATTATTAGTTGCTGTGTCGCCGATTTTTGATAGAACATTTGGAAAACCGTGTGTTTAGTTTTTACAAAATATAAGATGAAAAATGAAAGCTGAGAGAGAAACTTTTCTTTAGCTGCTCAAAAGACCTCATATGCTAGCCACATTTTATTATTTTTCAGATCAAAGCTTAGTATATGATTTTTATGTATGAATCGGTTTTCCATTAGTTCTTATATCATTGCGACAAAAAAAAAATGAAAGGAAGGTTGTTGTGTACCAATAAAATGTTGAAGATTTTTCAAAGGAATTGCAAGGATATAGAAAGTGATTGGATTGTGATATACTTTATTTTTGTATATTGTGCGGCGAGGGATAAGAGTTTTATTTATGATAATTGTATAGATACCGTGCCTTTTATTTATTTCATTCAGAGTTTATGCCTATAGAGAATCATTAAATATGTATCAATTTTAATAAACCTTTATTAAATATTTTTGTAGTATAGTTTTTCCTCCCCGATTCTATACCTGATACAAAACCCGTATTGACTGCGTGGTAAAAATATTCTTATTGTAGCTGGAACAAAAATGACGAAATTCATGGAAACTGAAAAAAGTGGCGTCAATTAGGTTTGCTCTACACTTCCCACGCAACACCGTTATCAGTTCATAAACCATTATGCTCAGCACAAGTTACACTATTAAAAGACAGGGCCATCGACCTTAAATCCTGGATAGAGGATAATTACTATGCTTTCGTTCATTGTCCCAGAGACCAAACCTAGACTGTGCTGATGAGTTGCCAACGTCGCGTCGCCACCAGTTATACTGGACACATACGAACGCCAGCCCGGCTGTTGAACTTGGCAGACGCAGGACGCTTGCCAAATACATGTTTAGTTTTAAGGACAATTGTACGGGGCAACCTATGCTGTGTGAAATAGTACGACAAAAAAATAGGGACGGTAGGCAAAGGGCAGATCTACAACATACCAATAAATCACCCTAGTAAAAGATTCACTGTTTTTGAGATATTAATTTTTTTCGCTCTTTTTTTAATCTATCTTTTGTTGGTGTGCCTTGCAAAATATTCTCAGATAGTTGGTCAGCAATTTGAAATATTATTTTCGATAAATACAAGTAGGTAAACTCAATTTTGGTTTCCAGCAATGAAATAAAAATGTATAGTTTGGCAAACGGATCTGCAACATCGGGGTATCGGTGAGGGGAAAGCAAAACATGGCTGGTTTCATTCATAAAATGCCAGCGGCGTGCGGTTCTTTATAAAAGTTTGGGATTATTTCATAATTGGTTTAAATTTAGTAAACTATACGTTTATGTTTCACTTTAAATTTGGGGAGTATCTCAATAAGCCCACAATGATATGGAGCATTGTCCATAATAATAAATAAAGTCTCGGGTAAACTCAAAAATAGCTGTATCTCTACAATCTACACCATGTAAAAAAACACTTGAGTTTGTTTCTACACTTCAACAAACGGAAAAATGTCTACTCACTTCCCAAAATTGCCACAATTCAAAAAATCATGATAACTGCGCGATTTAAAACCTAAATCAAGCTAGCGTTTTTGTCAAAGCCGTAAATAAAATATATTTTTCAAATACAAATAGATACTTAACGTGGTTTTTTACCTTGAGAATATATATATATATATATATATATATATTATACATTCGTGATCTTATAATATGCTCATTTACTTTAAAAAGTGCCACAAGCCGAAACATGACCAGAATTAATTTTTATTTTATAATCCGCATCTTTCTGGATTCCTATTGTTGCAATTTTGGACTGTTGATGAGGATATTTCTAGAGCATCTGTGTCGCTTAAGTAGAAACAAAGAACTTTAAACACATTTCATATCCGTTTAACTTATAACCTCTGTAATAAATAATACTTACATTATACAGCATTTCAAAATTACATTTCACCTATTGAATTAGCATTGGTGTTCGTCAACTTCATCATTATCATCATCGTCACTGTCGTCATCAGTTTCGCTGTCGTCATCTTGCCCTATAGTTATTATAACTGGTTCCATTTCCTCCATAAATTTAAGCTTTGCCCAAGCTAATTCTATTGGGTTTAGCTCGCATAAATAAGGAGGTGTTCTTAGAGGAGTATGTCCATGTGATCTTATGATCCGATCAACTACATAATTTTTTTGGTTGTCAGGGGGCTTATGAAGTAAGACCAGATCGAACAAGTCAAATTTTCTGGCAGTTGCCTCATGATTTATGCCTATAAAATATTTTATTGTATAGTTTGATATGTACATGCATGTTTTGAGTCATAAGTACCTTTCTTTGTCAACCAGGCCATTATATCTTTTTTCGAAGATGATTTTGTCGGGGTTTTATCTTCCTGGACGGAATGATATGGAGCATTGTCAAATACTATAACCGAATTGGCAGGTATATTCGGGAGGAGTTTTTCTGTGAGCCAGCGTGTGAAATTTTCCCGATTCATCTAACAGTGGTAATCGCCTGTAGCTAATCCCGCCTTAAATATCAAACAGGCATTGTCAACAAATCCATTTTCTGAACCTGCATGCACTATAATGAGTCGACCTAAAATATACAAGACGATTATATAATATGTTACAAATCAGAGTTAAATTTAACATATATATAGCATTTTTGCTTACCTGTAGAACCTATACTGCTTATTACACCAGAAACAGTTTTGCTCTGCCAGCATTTTTTGAAAGTCAAGTCATTGTCCACCCAGGTTTCGTCCAAATAAACTATATTGCGCCCTTCTTCACGATATCTACGTATTTCACGGATGTATTTGTACCTCCATTGCAATATATTGGGCCTCTCCATCAAAACTTTTCTTTTATTTTGACATTTGCGCCAAAAAAAACCATTTGATTTTAATAAACTCCTGAGAGTTTCCCTAGAATAGGGGAAATTTGAGTCTTCTCGCAACTTTTGTAATAACTTCCTAGTTGTCGGGACAACTTTATATTCAAGATAAAATCTGTTTATCAAATGTCTAATAATCTGAAAATCAAAATCTTCATCTTTCTCAACAAGAGACTGACGCGGTCTGTTTTTTCCGGGACTGGATAACATTTTATTCGGGTTATTTTCTAGTCTTTCTTTATCTTCGTTATGAATTTTCCTAACAGAAGATACTCCGACTCCGGTATAAAGGGACACCCTATCAAGCTTACGTTTAAGCGGCAACCTGAGGGAATTGTTTGCCGCTTCCTCATCGCAAACCCTATAAATAATCATCAGAATGTTAGCTCAGCATTTCCTTGTTTTTTATTTATATTCAGACTCAGTCGTCAAAAACTACAATTATTGCATATTATTATTACTAACCTATAAACATTCGCAATCACTTCTCTTGTTTGGCTATGAAGCGTCTTTCCGCGAGTAAATTGGTTCATTTTAAAAAAATAATACTAAAACGAATAACAATATCAAATAACAAAACACTAAACTATTCAAAAACACACAGCACTAAACATACAAACTTAATAGAACAATAAATAGTTAACAATAATAGTTGTAAAACTCATATACGACAATTAACGGAGATAAAACCTACGCCACTGGACTTTTCAATAGTATGGATATTCTAAGAAAGGAGCAAAAAATTGTCTGGGACGCTACCCAATAGGGAGTCGAATTTTCTCATGGCGACAAAACATGTGAGGATATCCGCCAATCAGATTCGTTTAGGCGGTGTCCAATATACCTTTCGGGTGGTTGTTGCCAGCTCAACCGATGTAGATAAGATCTTTGGAAAAATGTTTACTTATAATACGATTCAGTAGTAAAAAATAGTTAGTAAATACAAATAGAGCTAACAACCCATTAAAATTCTCAGTATTTTGAATTAATATTTTTTGGAATTGTGAAAAATCGATTTTCAAATCATTGAAATTACTTTTATTATTATTATTGCTTTTTTGTAGTTAAATTTGGCAATATCGAATATTTTCGGTCGCATTCCTTTCGCTGTTGCAGATCCGTTTGCCAAACTATACTAGACTGCTACTGCAAAGTAATGCGATAAAGTATCTGCTTAATCAGCAACAAAGGATGGATTAAACGAGGAAATTTATCGGAAAAGTAAAAAAAAATTGATATCTCAAAAACAGTGAAACTTTTACTAAGGGTGTGATTTTTAGGTATGTTGTAGATCTGCCTTTAGCCTATCTTCCCCACTTTTTTGTCGTACTATTTACCGGACACCCTGTATGTCTAATAGGTTAAAAAAATAAATATGCTCATGTCTAATAGGTTAAAAAATAAATATGCTCTGCTTTCGTCCGTCCGATCAAAGATATCCAACCATAGACAGCTGTTTCTCTACTTCTTGGCTACTCCTCAGCATGGTCTAGATTTGGATCTGCCCGACAACAAACGAAAGCAATAGTAGCTATACACTATACAAAAGAGTAAAACAGTGATTGGCAGCAAAGAAAGTATAATTATGTTAATATGTAACATTTTATTAGAAACTTTATAACCATATGTATTTTAATAAACACATCAGTGATAATGGAAAATATGATTACGGATTATGGATGCTTAAGTTAAATATAAACTCATATAATCAATAGCATATAATAATAATTTAATTTTATTATTTAGAATTAGTTATTTTGTAATCACTAGTTGATGGAATTACAAATGGAAGGGCTTCCAAAAGTTCAACAATGCAACACAAGACGTGCATAGTAAGATGACTAATTTTAAAACTACTTTACAATACAATCAGCGATGAATATGTATTTGTATATTTGTAATAATTAAGACTAAATTTGAATGTACAACATCAATGGATATTTTTATCTTGTTTCAATTCAAATGCAATTATTTAATACAATACAACTAGAGCGAAGCAAACTATAACCTAATTATAGAATCATTTCAGCAACATGCATTTTGTCTGGAAAAACAAATGTAGATACTGATTTTGAATAAATTAGTGAAGTTTTACAACTTTCTAATAATGGTTATGTGTATTCTGTATCTTGGTACAATTTCTCATTTATTGGAAAATACAACATGTATGGCAATATTCATCAATTGGAGCTAACAAATTACAACTGCAGGCAATATTAAAAATATTTCAGTAGAAAATAGAATTAACGCGTTACCCTTGAAACATGTATGTGATGTGTCTCTATAAATTTGGCACTGTGTCTGTGTTTTGTCGCTGTTGCAAAAATGCATAATACTACATTTTTAGATTTAGTGCAGCCTCACGTAACTTTAATAGATTTTGAAAATGAACTCAAGATTTGCGCCTTTATAGTTATTGTTTACTCGTATCAATCAAAATATATGCATAAGTGATACAATAAATGGTAAGAACCACACATGGTCTATTATACCTGATAGGTACCAACAAGTGGATAATACAGAGTGATTCAGAAAACAGGCAATGTTTTTAAAATAGAAAGTTTCAAAAACAAGACGGAAAGTTTATATAAACTTAAGT